CTAGCTGACAAATAGGACACCATTCTCTCGTGCTTGCTGCGAAAGGAAAACGGGAAACTCAAGTACGAGTTTCTTGAACTCCCATTGCAAAGTAAGGTGGGCGTGTTGGCGGCACATGGCATGTTGGGAGATCAGACAGACTACAACATAGCCGTGACGGAATGTTGTGACAAACTGAGGGTGAACGCACTGCAGAATACCGGGCTGCGGGGGATCACGCGTGTTCTGAGCCGGGACCTCATATTCAAGGACAAATTCAAGCAGATTGAGGAAGAAACACAGTATTCATCTTTCCACGAGGTCGACGAAGACAGGTTGTACGAGACGCTGAATCCAAGAAAACCGCAGTGGGACAGTACCATCCCGAGGAGACCCCCTCCCCCACCGCCCAACGGTTCGACGTCACAAGTCGATGTAGACGACGTGTTGGACGACGAGGGTTACTTGTCTCCGATCGACCTGCGGCCGCCTCCCCTCCCCCGCCGCGCCAGGCAAGTCTGACGGGAAACTCACCGACGAGTCCTCGCAGGATCACCGTCAAGGGTCAGGAGTACGAATCAGAGTGTTAGAAACTTGATGTAACTGCTTTCTATCGTTTGACTACTGGACCAGGTACTACTTAGTATCTGTTTTGGTTTATAATTAGGTAATGACCTAGCAATTTACTCATATATCACGGTTACGGAGAGGTGTTTATCCAGATGATACTAATTACGGGAAAACGCAGATAGATCTAAAATACGTATAGCTGCTTCTGAAGAACGTCATTGCATGTCAGTCGTGCACAGTACAATGTTTATGGCAACAATTACTAGTATTGACCATGGTACAAAAAAGAGGTTACATGTACGTCCAAATCAAGCTTGCAGACCGGTCTACATGTATATTCACGGTGAAAACGTAAACTCGTACATTCGACTGTCATTAATGGACAGCATGTTACAAATTCTAACGTTACTGTAACATTTTCCACTTTTAGCCGTGCCATATTATTTTATCGTCCCATAGGTTGTGCATACTTCCCTGACAGGGAAGCCATGCATGTGTGCACACATGCACGCGGCTCCATATGTATATTCATTGGAAATAACAAGTACATGTACTGAAACCAGGAAATCTGTACCCAGAAAACAGTGAAAAAAAAAAGAGAAAACAAGGAGGCGTTCCTTTTATAAATTTCTAAACGGCCAATTACGAATGATATTAGACACAAGCACTATTAATATTGTCAGTATTTGTAATGGATGAATTTTATTGTTTGTCACGGTAAAGTTAACATGCGTGGAGTTGCTAAGTTGCTTTTTCAGATATTATCTCACTCGAAGGGCTTTCACTTCTAGTCCCCACTCATTCTTTATGATTGAATGTGGGCTCGTGTATATATGATAACATTAAGACGTATAGTAAAAAATGTAAAAGTTTTTACAATCATGTAATAAAATATTTGTTGTATCTGATATACGTTTTCGGCCTTCGTCTCTCGATCCTTTCTCTGGAAAAATATATATTAGTAGTAATCTATAGCCTGCGAAAAATAACGTACTTATTGAGTTCGGATTGTTACCAATCATAGGTTGAATTTGTCGGTAGCAACGCATCGGGGCGCTTAATACTTTGGGTAACGTTGGATTACGTATACGTTATGAGTAAAATGGCTTAGGAATCATCCGTATAAGAAAGACAGCTACACATTACACAGTTTGAAGGGTACAGACCTATTCTTCTTCCTGATAGCGACCATGGCCACGCACGATCATCATGTTGATCATTCTGTCGCTGTAGGTCGGAGGTCACTATATAGCAGCATTACTGAGATGTGGAGGCCCTTGACACGAAGATGTCAATATTTTTGGCCTCAACAGTTTTTTGTGATAGGGTTTTCCAGTCTTTGATTGTCCTCGGTAGAAATGAGGCGTGGGTGCTCAAGTGCCAGGTGCTCAAGGGTTAAGTAAAATCCCGGTGCTGTGTATATAGATAATTTATTTGTATAATTGTAAAACCTGCGCATTATGAGTGCAACAATAAGAGGGTTTGCATCGCGGCATCATTCCATGAGGCAAGTCTTGTGCAAAGTTTACTGCGAACTATATTAAAACATGATTTTGATGGTACAAATTGCCGGTTTTGATCATGAACATCGCATATAAAAGGAATGAAATGCATCACTGCATCAAAGCAAAAGAGAAAACAATAAATCAGAGCCTAGCCTGTTTCCTCTCTTCAAATTTATCTGCCATCCAGTTCCGGTATGACAACAGACATATCTGCCCATTTTCGGCATGTTGACTAGTCAGAAGGCAACAAAATCTCTTGTTTTTTTTTCCAAAATCAGGCTAAATTAATGCGCGCGCTGATGTCATCCATAAAAATCTTGCAAGTTGTGACCCCATTGCAGACTCCTAATATTTCAACGCATGGCCGTGGCAATATAACATACTACGGAGAAAGGAGAGCTGGACGAACCTTGGGTTTCACTACTGCGGTATACGTAGTAGGTCTATACTGAAGAGAGAACTTGAAATAGCCCCGAGCTTCTTCTAAAGATGTCTCGGCTCTAGACTCAAGACGGTCAATGCGTAAACTTACTATCAAATTTTAGAATTAACTGACTGCACTACATTTCTACTAAAAAAACGTACTCGCCGCAAAGCAATCAAGTAACATTTCACACCTACGTAATGTACATGTATGTAGTATACTGGTCCCTACCGGCTGTAGTCAGTCAGGGCCGCCTTTATATTATTTGAATACACCCACGGTCCGGGGACGGTCTCCTCCGTTACGTGGCAAGCCTCTTAGAGATAAAAAGCTACAAGATATGCTGAACGACTGCCCACGCAAACGTTCATTCACAATTTATTCGACCCCCGAATCCAGCAATACGTCATCGGTCCCACTGCGTGATACACGTTATCCGTGTTTTGCCTATAACATTACCTGGCAATATTGACTTGTTTTCTGAAACATTCATTGTGGTGAACATGTTTATTCATTCGGACTGAATTGCCTGTGATGTCTTGAGCGCGGAAGTCTCTAGGTGTTAGATGAGAAATGTGAAATATGTTATTACTCAGCCCAGTCATGCAGTCAATTTACTGTTTCCCTGTCGTCTTTCATCCCGGAAATGAAATTCGCTGGCTCACTTTCCAATCGTTGGGTGTCTCTTTCATTATCTTGTAATGCCTACTTTTATTTAAAACAAAAATAAATAAAATGTAGAAAGTTTGCATATTATAAAAACTGTACATATAGATATATTATATGTGAAATATGTCACTTCCTCTTCTAGATTTAGTCAGATATTTCAAAGTGTCGTTCCATCAAACAGGCGATATTTCGATTTGCGTTGAACACCCCATCAATGACTGACCCAAAGTTTGCAAGATGGCTGCCTCAGCGAACGGTTTTACTTCCTTATGTGAGGAACTAAAGAGTTTAACTTGGAAAGACGTGGTGAACCTGGACTGTGTTGTACAACAGTACAAACTACCACAGATTCTGCAAGTCTTGGACGAAAACAGCATTCCTCAGAGCGTGGACAAGATCTCAAGAGGCGACTTTCTTCTGCTGCATTCGCCTTGGAATGTTCAAAAAGTTGTGTGTCAATCTGTGGAAGGGGAGGGACACTACGTTGTCGGGAATCGCCTGGAAATCCCGTACGGCTACGAGGGAAAATTCGAGATTTTCAACCTTTGGGAACAGGACTATAAGGTCTTCAACTCTGTGGAGGAAGTGGCCCGTGTCTTTCCGACCAGGGTGTTCGCCTTGGAAGATATCAACATCACGATGGTCGCGGTGGTGAGTGAGAACTCGGACGACCGTGAGTGTTTCAAGATTGTGATCAAGGCAGGACAGGAGCTAACCCTCATGGGGCAGACTGATCTGTACCTGGAGGAATGGCCCGATAGATCCAAGATGGGGATTTTTGGGAAGGGGGAAAATCCCCTGGTGTCCCAAAATCAGGCCCAAAATCAAGAAGACGCCATGCCTGATCTGCATGCACCACACGCAAGCCGAGAGCGTCAAGCTTCCGTACCCGTGCAAGGGGCGCTTTTCCACAGCCAGCCCGGCGGAAATTCGCCAGTACGAGGGCGCCCATACGGTCCAAGAGATAGCCGACAACGTCCGCTTGCCGGTCAGTGTGAAGCTAGTTCAGCCCCCTCGCATCCAATGCTCATGACGAATACAGAATTCAGAAGAAAGCTCTCTGAAGTTTTTACAGAAGGAGGAAGGCCAAGATGTCATAGCTAGCGTGTGGACTGAAGGAGGAGCAAGGAAGCTGTTCCAGATAGACGCCAGACTGAAACCTGTGTTCAGGATAGCTGATCAGGCAAAACAGAAGACAGAGCAGTACCAAACTTTGTTGCGAGAATGCATGCAGCTGTGGACAGATCATGATGTGGATGCGTACTTCCGAGCAATCAGAATCCATCGCTCGAGAAAGCAGAGGAACTCAAGAGACTTGAGCAACCAGGGTAGCGTAGATCGTGAAGAATGCCCAGTACCGCCTCCACGACGTACGAGTAGGCACATAGGAAGGCCCCAGGTGGAAGAGTCGCCCAGATCTAAAGTTTTGAGCAAGGCCCTGCCTCCCACTCCAACAGAGGAGGGGCCCAGCAGGCAAGCCCACCCTGATGGGAATGAGATCCCCTATGACTTCCTGTGGCCAGGTACGGGGAGGATAGACACGTCCAACAGGGACAGCGGTGGGAGCTCAGAGGAACACCCACAGCACGTGGACCGTAAGGAGTTGGACAATGCCTTGCACGGAACGGCCGACGAAGAGCCTTCGGACTTTGAATATCTGGAGGACTGGGAGGACTGGTCAGAGATGGATAACAGGCATCGCAATGGTGAAGGGAACAACAACAAGGCTGTGGGAAACTCACGGTTCTCCAACAGAGAAAGATACCGCAATGACAGAGGTGTGACGGAAAGCAACACTGTTAATTCACTGGTCAGCAGTGACGAGAGTCAGGCATACGAACTCCTTGTAGACATTGGGAAGAGCAAGTCCCTTCCTTGGGACACTAAGCCAACATCTCCATCTAATGCTGATGTGGGGGACATTCCCCCCTCGCCCGCCGAGGAACCCCACAGCAACCCCCCGCCCCTCCCACTGAGCCCCCGCCCCTCCATGACCAGTCTGAGTGACAGCCAGAAGTCAGGTCAAACATCGCCTCAGCAGGACAGGTCACCTGTAGAGGGACCCCCAGTCCTCCCGCGGGGAATGCCCCCTACTCACAGTTCTGTTTCCAGCTTGAGCGACAGCGACCCCCCTCCCCTGCCTCCACCGCGCCTCCCCCCTCGTCCCATGCCAAGCCGGGGGAAGTCCGAGAACAGGTCGGAGAGTCCGTCGGACTTTGAAGACCTTGACAGTCTTAGCATAGATGGATCTCAAGAGAGTGACAGCGACAAACGGTCACCGAGGGTGAACAGTAGCCCGTTCGTGACGGATCCCGACTGGATCCCGCCGGATAACCTGTCCCACCTGACTGTCCAGGAGGTGTCGCAGTGCCTTCGCTACATCGGGACTCCGGACAACGTCGTGCAGCAGTTCTTTCGGGAGAGGATAGATGGCCAGATGCTCATCCAGTTAGACAGAGACATTCTCAGCCAGGAATTCAGGCTTAGTGGCCTGCAAACTAAGAAAATCTCTGAGTTCATCAATGGCTGGAGACCCAGGCTATAGGTAGGACAGTTGCTATTGGGGAGGAGCTTATACTAGGTGAGTGACAGGCACATTGTACAACATTTGCAGCATAAACCTTTGACCAAGGTGTGTTTGAACTTTGAAATGTGGCAAATAATAAAGTTCTGTCCTTCATTTCTTTGGTCAGATTTGCCATGTTTCCTACAAGATACATTCAAATTTCAGGAATGGATAAGGGCAAAAAAATTCAATTGCCTTTCCTTGTTCTCTATGTTTTGACAAAATCAAGACCACACCAATTGTAATTTCAAACGTTCTAAGTTATGGTTGAATTGACTTGAATTTTTAAAAGTTAAATTACTAACGTTGAAGATCCAAAGTGTCCTACATCAGTCTCAATAACTTTCTCAGTGTGCACATACAGGACTTGAAATACTGCTGCAGTGCATATACACTTCAATTTCAATGCCTGACATGTATAATGTGTCTAGTCTACTATACCTTTAGAAATTGCAATGTCTCTTGCCAATCAGTTTTGACAGCAGAAGTTGTTGTGTTGTTCTGCCCACGATCCAAACATGCATATTGCTTAATTACAAAAACAGGAAGCGTATGAATTTGTAATGGCCTCTGAGTTTTGCTCAGTCACTCACTTATTACTCTCCTAGCAGAAGTTGTTGGGGAAAATTGTGCCCTTGTTGTTTGCCCAATTTTTGTCCACTGTTTGTCAGTAAAAATTAAAATGTAAAATTGATTAGTTAGGGTAGACAAAAATGGCGCTTATGATAAGATTCTGACAATTTTCCCCAACAATCTCTGCTTGGAGAGGATGGCTGCTGTGCTTGACAGACTACAGCTGTAGTTGTATCACAAACCTGGCCTTGGAAGCAAAGAAAAGTGGAAAGACATGTGCAAGCCCAGAGGGCAAAGGAAGTGCTTATTTTTGTTTTCTGACTTCCCTGCCCTTCCCCCTGGCCAGGTTTGTGTGACAACTGCAGCTGCTGAAGATGATATGACCACCAGGTCCAGATTACTCGATCCCACAGCACCTTGGCAGAACAATATTACTTGGCCTGCTTGCGCGAAACACGGATTTTTGACAGTTTTCATTGGATGTTTGCTCAACATCAAAATTTTTTGTTGCAGGCAATGTTTTTTTTATACAATACTGAAAACTGGCAGGACGTCATCCTTAAATACTCAAACATGACCTTAAATGAGACAAAGTGCCATCACAATATATTATGGGTTTTGCACAGGTGCAGCACGTTCTGCCGATGTGCCTGATGATAGTAGACCCCAGATACAGTACACTATATACAAATATGACTTTAACTTGAAGTTTCTGGTTCTCAAACTATTCAGGTGATACAAGAGCCAATAATGTAAAAAAAATGACATTAATAATTATTTCAAAGATAAATGACAATCTTAACAAATTGCTCTTTGTATTACAGGTAAATTGATATATACATGAAGCAATGGCATAATGACTCTCAGGCCAACTCAGTTCATGTACTGGTTATCATCAGAATTGATTCTTCAGAAACTGGAAAGGCAAAAGTCCCAGAACCAGCCAGTTGAACAGTGCAGCCTTCATTTGGCTTTGTTACCAAAGTACCAAAGTTACATATCTCAACTAAGTCTAAAGAAACCACTGTGAAAGCAATGTAAACTTGGATCAAATTAGAAGTCGATATGGATACAGATAAAGTATTCACCATTTGTTGTGAAATAATGTCACACAAATATCATGATATGTATGTAATGAATATCACAACTCACAAATGTAAAATAAACTTTTGATATTTTATGACATGCTTTTGTAGCTGTAGTTTGCAAGCTTCAAACAAAAAGGTCATGGGAAAATCAACTGGGAGTGTACTTGTTGAAAATGTAAAGCAAATTTGGGTATACAGTTTTATTTGCAAAGACAGATCAATAGTTAAACTTATAGCAGTAATTTTAATACTAAGTGCTTTATCATCAATTTATATTCGCCTGGAATAGTTGTATTTTGTACATTCATTTTAATTTATAACCAGATTATGGCTGGCATTACCTTCATTCTGTAAACTTAATGTATACTACATGTATATTATTTCTTAGGCTAGCTATGAAACTACTACTACTAGTACTAGTACTAGTAGATAATTACTAGTAGTTACTGAAATGTCATGCAATCTTGTCTCTAATGTGCTATCACATGATGATTTCTATAGGGCATTGAATCATGTTATTAAGTATTTTTATTATCTTTCTGAACTCTTGTAGTTATGTCTAGTCTATATCAGGTAACTCTCATACCACTGTAAAATGTAGAATCAAAGCTATGCTCAGAAATTTTAGATATATGATTCTTTTAACAGTTAAAACTGTAAACAGTAAGCAATAGAATAATCTTGAGTGGCCATGATCATTGATAACTACTACATGTTTGTAGTGCTCAGTTCTGTACAGAACGAATATCATGGGTGTGGTAGTAAACTGGTTGTAGCAGTTTCACTTAAGGAACTGCTGACCATGTGGTGTTACATTTTGACTGTAATTGAGTGGGCAAGCAAGATTTCAGAACAGAACAGAACAGAACAGACACAGCTTTTCCCGTGTACACATGTACATGTACCTTCATTGGGACAGGATGTTTTTTAATGATTTTGCAAACCTCAGTCATTATTGATGCATTTGGTAAGACACATGCCATGGTTAACAAAAGTTCCACGAGTTCATACCTTTGCTAGATGATGCTTTAAGACTGACGAATTGTAAAGAAGATGGATGAACTGGTATTGGTTCTGCTGCACAAATTCTAAGCCATGCCAGACCAGCTTTTTACTCCATTTGAAGTTGGTTTACAAAAGCAAAGGCTGTTTTAGTTTCTATATATTTTGTGTACACAGAGACAATGGTCTGTATTAACATTCTTGTAATACCACGAAAATATGTATAATTTACCAATGTAAACAAGCCCAGACTAACCAGATATGTATGGAATGGCAGACATTTGAATGTCAACTTCAAAATGATATTTGACAAAACAGGCTTGGACTGGTATGTAACACATTGATTTATGTGCCAAATTTGTGCCACTGTAACTAATTTTAGATATTTTCAAATCACCAAATCTTGAAAAAGGCGAACTGGCAATAATGTAAATATAATAATGGATCTCGACATATTATACTTTCAGGTGTTCAGGTCAGTCTAGGTATTCATGTGACAGATTATGATATATATACAGTAATACTAGTATATTATACCTGTACAGCAATGGAACCAAATTGTTCACATTGTATGAAATGCACAGCCTTTGTGAATCAATGCTAATTCAATTAATAATTGATGTAGACAGTTGGCAAATCGTATGTGTGCCATGGGTGAAATGGTTTTAAAATAGACTCATTTTCTGTAAGTGTTGTTTGCAGTATGCTAGTTTGGCACAGTTTAAATGTCAATTGTTTGTTGCTATTCACAATTGTCTGCCATTACATACACATTATTATTCTGATATTATTATCAGACAGATGTTTGAAACACATATAGCAGAGTGTAATTGGTACTAAGACTGGTAAGTGGATTTTTATCAGATACACATGTATCAGCAGATGAAAATATCTGTATCATTTCATTACAAAATGCAATACATGATATGATGTACATCCTTCAGTGAGAGCTGTTGGTCATTCATTATAAACTTTTTCCTCTTATTGAATTAGATTGTTGCACAATGATACATTTAGAATTGGTATCAATTCGTTCAGTCTACTACTCGTGGTTCGATATACCGGTACCCACTTTTGCACTCTGACGCCGTGCAAGTCATGTTTTCTGTACAAGTCTTATTGGAGTTGCCAGGTTGCCCAACGCGCAAATTATCTCTTTATTTTTTGCATATACTAAACTAAAGATTTCAGCAGCCCATCTTATGTGTCCTGCCTCGCCAGCATGTGAGTATCCCATTACAGGTGGCCGGAATAACATCTTGCTTAAGTTTATAAAATAAACAGCTGGTGTTGACTGAAATATTGATGGGCAGCCTAGTATTTTGAACCCAGCAATTACTTCACATGTCTTCTGCCCAGGTTTGAAAGTATTACACTAGTACTGCAGTGAAGGTGAATGCCACCAATATGTCAATATATGGGTAACCCTCCCCCCAGTACATGATATACGCAGGTACAGCCCCCTTCCCGATACATACTGTACAGCCTTCTCACAATGTAGCTCTCCCCCCAAAAAAGGAACCACTGCAAATTAGCACTCATAGATAGAAGCATTTTAAAAATGCCAGCCAAACATGATAGGTCACTAGTACTGGTGCATGGTGCAGAGACATGCCACATGGAATCTGACTTGATTTTGGCATGAAAATAATAAAGATAACAGAGTGATCAAGCAGGCAATTAGATTTTGTGTGCAGCATGAGATCACTCTCTTTTTGATTGTCCATTATGATTGTAAGATAAAGCTTGGAAGATAATTTCATAAACATTGTTTAATTATTAATAACAATCATGGTGGAAGTATTTCATAATTGTTTACTGTCCAATGTTTGTGTTCAAAGTGCAATGTTGGAACATTGATGTCAGCTATTCTCCATAGTTTTCACCACTACATACCAGGGACCTGTAAATTATTACTAGTGCAGGAGACCGATAAGCAGACTTATTGCCTTCTCCAAAGAAGGTTATGTTTTCAGTAGCATTTGCATGTGTGTGTCTTGATATTTGGTATGTGTGTAGGTCTTAATGAGACATCAAAAAATTGGCCCTAGTGACCTTCCCCAGTACTGTAGTCTAATTTTCTAAATGAATTTACAATACGTTAGTCTTATTGACATTTGTCAGTTGAGAGATATGAGGTCGTGGAACTCTAGCTGGTTACACTCTAGTTCGGTCCACTGAAGCATGTTAGCACCAGACCCAGACATTGATAGTACTGGTGGGCCAGAGGACCCAAAGTTTCTCAATCAGGGTCTGCATGCCTTTTCCCATGATGTGTAGCGGGCATTTTTTATCCACAGAAGACCGCCTTTTATTCAGTGTTAAGCATTGATGAAAATTCTATATATTACTGGTAATCATACGGAGGCTTGTCAATTTGTATAAAGGAAATGATACAAAGATATATAAACCAGTAATACATACATCTTTTAAGTTCTTCATATACATATCACACATACTAGTAATCAATGCCAAAAAATGTAGACATTCCTATATTCTAATTAAAAAATTCAAATCCAAAAAACTTTGTAGCTACATTTTGTCATATAGATAGAGGGGTAACATTTACAAAGTACTAGCTGAGACTAGTTGTGTTTTTGATTGCTGTACTAAAATTCTTCTGAAAATGTAAGGTTATATGTATGCTGTGTGGAATATTAAGAATACTGTATGCATGGCAATCATGGGTTCAATTCTATGTACATGTAGTTCTGTTGGCTTTTGGAAGATGGCGCTTCTGTACACAGGACAAGAACAGCAATATGGAAAACAATGTTAATGAGGTTCCTTTTTGATAACATTGCTATACAGAAATACAACAAATACAAAAACATAATCCTACAATGACAGAACTGACCCTAAGAGAGTGATAAATACACAATACAAACAAATGAGGTTCCTTTTGATAACATTGCTGTACATAGATTGTTCTACTTCTAGATTGCAATATACATGTATTTGAATTGACAATGAATTTCATTATGTAAAATACTGTTTGTTTGTAGTGAATGGTTTTTAAACCTTGTAAATTGGACGTAATTCAGTGGTTCGTGCAATGTTCGATAAAGTGATCTTTAATCTTCAAACTAATCTCATAAATACAACAAATACAGTAACATAATCCTACAAGACAGGAACTGACCCTAAGAGAGTGATAAATACACAATACAAACAAATGAGGTTCCTTTTTGATACCATTGCTGTACATAGATACAACAAATACAATACCATTTTCCTACAAGAAAGGAACTGACCCTAACTTGATAAATACATAATACAAACAAACTGGTGTCAAAAAAATGTACAAAGATATATGATAAGAAGGAATTGATCAATTTCTAGAATTACATGTATTCCCCCGATCTTTATTTAATTGTTCCTTTGATGCTAAACAAAAAAATACTGGTTTGTAAACTTAAGTCCTGTTTGTTTGTTTGTTTGTTTGTTTATTCGATCTCCATTAGATTTACATGAAATCTATTCTTCCTGGAGTCGCAAAATTACAATGAAACAATGTACAGAACAGAACAAAACAAATGTACATGAAGGTAAAACCAATATAACAAAGGTGTGAGTCTTGATAAAAAAAATAACATAACGCACACAACATTAACTGAAAACTGAACTTAAGTGAACGGGGAGAGGTCAGAGGTCATGGATGATTAATGTAACAAAAACTGTTGCAAAAAGAGGTTGCAAAACTGCAAACCATGAACAGTAGTAAATCAACAAGTGGGTGCAGAACTGCAAATCATAATAACAATAAGTAAATAACAAAGTGGATGCAGAACTGCAAATCATAATAACAATAAGTAAATAACAAGTGGGTGCAGAACAGCTGTCATAATAACAATAAATAGATATAGTCTAGGCGATCGGTGCAAAATATGGGTAGAATTGCTCAGTTTGTGATAAAAGCATGAGACTTGGCATGCTGAAGCATGAGTACCTAATTAACATTTTCAGGGGTGGAGCCATTGCAAAAAGTATGTTACTTAGCAACGGTTGCTAGGCAACTTGTTTTTCCAACAAAACAGTATTATTACCTTCTAAGTGTGCCTAAAAACCAAATATATTGTGCAAAAATGAGGTGTATTGCTGTATCTGACATCACTTTGTATGTTTAAGTCAATCTTAAGCCATTTTAAAACAAAACTCACCATTAAAAGGCTGGTTTTGGGGGGAATTATAAGTCGAAAAGTGTATAAATTAGATTTCATAGGCTGCATATTTTCTCGTTACCTATGGGGCCTTGAAAAGCATATTTGATTGATAGAGCTGAACATTCTCTGAATGGTAAAGTTTAAATTTCAAAAATCCATCAGTTCTATCAGGAGATATAAGTGTTTGAAGAATAACACATCCACAGTAGATTGGTTGCTATGGCCGTTGCTAGAGACGGCTAAATTTTTGGGCTGTGGTCTGTACATTTTGGCTTTTGTGCCACTATATTAAGGTCCAATGGCATGGAATTTGGCATGAGGATAGCTTGGTTTTATGCGCAATAATTGCTAAAGAATTTTATGTTTTAGATTCCTGCCTGAAAAATTTAGCTTTAGCTTATTTTGGGTAAGAATAAGCAAAAATGTATATTATTGGCTTCTGTACAACTATATGACGGCCAAATAACCCAATTTTCTGTATGGGATAGCTTGGTTAATACATAGATATACAAATTCAATTAATGCTACAAGTCAAGTTAAAATGACGTCCTAAGATTAGTAAATCGACATATTTTACGTTATATTATTAACATGATATTATATTCCTTTATGCATTGTTACAATCGCCCTTGCAAGTGCAGTACATGGTACATTTCAGTTGGGCTCGTGCACATTTACAATCTTCACACCGGGTCCTACACCTGCACTGCAACAGCTCTGGGCATGATTCTCTAGCCTCAGGCAGGTTCGTCCACAAAGGCCTCCATTCGAGGAGGAGTTTAAGACTTGTCTATGAGCATACGTCTAGGGATGATGATGATTAGAAAGAACAATATGATATGGTATTGTCATATAGCCAAGTGATGTTGACCAATCAGAAGGCACCATTCACATCATTGGTTATAACGCTTATTCTGTTTTTATTTCGGCATATTATCACTGCAGTATGATGCTCAAAATGCATTATAGGTATGATGGGGAAACTGAAAAAGATTAAGAATTCTTTTTTTGCAAATCAATCACAACTACTACAAAAATATAATGGTGGAGCCCTAACTTCACATGGATTTTCTTACCAATCTTATTATGCATACATTGTGTTTGTTGCCCAAGGATTTGCTATAATTTAAAAAGGTGAATAAACATTGCATATAGCTGTTATTTTCATGCAAAGTGCATGTATATTCAATTTGGTGCTTGTTTACATGAACTTACCATCGCCATTTTGTCAGAATTTTACCAACAACTAGTGTTCTTACATAGCCGCTAGGAAGCCTGTTATCGAACTAAACCTTCATTTTTGGCTGCCACCAACCATCCACTAAATATCAAACCATCCAATGTTTCTTGAGTTATGTTGTACACGAACAAAAACACACAAAAACACAACCCTCTACAGCAACGTAGGAACATGTAGGCATCCTGTACCACAACACAAATGCTTATAATGATAGGAGCCATGAGGTCAACATGCTCGACTGGTTTGTAATTCAAACAATGCATTTCAAACTTTTAATCAAACCACTGCATTGATAGCTGGAAAAACTGTAACAACTCTGAAGAGATGGGACTTTCTTCAACTGTTGAGGCCAAAATTTTAGTATTTTGGAGATTCAGAATTTTTTTTCAAACATACAATCAACATATGCATAAAAAGCCTACTGCACTAAACAATTAAACCATTCTACAACAGCTACCCACATACCAAATATCAAAAAGATCCATTCACAACTTCTCGAGTTTTGATGCTGACCTACACACAGACCACCTTTTCACCACCATGCCCAAACCGAAAACGTACCCTTCTGATACTACCACAAAGTATCAAACAAAAGAACATAACTTCATACAAAACAGTAAAGAAAATTGGGTCTCTGAGTGTTAGTTCAGTATAATACAAATCAATTATCATTTCTGTTTGCATTCATTGCCAAGAGAGCAAATTACAGATTCTGAAGTGCACATTCACAGTGTTTGCTCGTGAAGGACTCATATTCAGTATTAATCATTTATTCTTATCTAATCTAATCTAATCTAATGTAATCTAATCTTATCTAAGTACAAACATGTATTTTCTTAACATGTCATTAGATGTTTTCAAACTTCATCATCAAAAATTTACCACTCTCATACGTCAACTAGCGCTGAAGCATCAAGAGTTTGAGCACGTGAAAGAGTGTGTGATGTTAGGACCCCCCCCCCCGCCTCGTACATCTATTTTAATTTTTACTAAGCACTGTGATTTATGTCAGCTCTATCAGACTTTTGGAGTAAATTAATCAACTTAGTAGTGAAAGCATTTTCAAATTCATGAATTTGACTTTCGACAGCAATGGAGTATTCTACATCGTACGTGTAAGATTGAATATGTCACCTGCTGATGGTAAATTTCAGCATTGTTGCAACAGACATTATCACGCATAAGCCAGAAATGTACATTTCTGGGCAGAAATAACAAAAAAATACCATTTTGTATTCAGAACAACTATTAAAGTAATCCAATGCTTGGCTGCCGTGGCAGTTATTAAATTACATGTTTGTACCGAATCTCGGTAAAATTTCTTCAACTGTTGTGTAACAGGAGCCAAAAATCTACATTTTTAGTTAAAAATAGCTCCAAATGCCACAAAACTGGAGACAAAATGAGATTCCTCCATGCATACACTAAAGATACTTCACTCAAAATGGTCAGGAAATAGACATTTCCCCACAAGTCTCCCTCTATTGCCATTTATGAAACCATTTAAAAGTATTATCTCCTGCGTTGCTAGGGAGGTATATTTTCCCTAGCAACGGTTACCATAGAAACATAATATAGATTTCCAAGGCCCTCTAAATTAATAATTTTCCTCCAATAGAAGTTTTCTTCAAGTTTTCCATATGGTGTGCACTCCATTTTGCTGGGAAAGCAGCCAAGTGCCTCCTTAGCAACGGCGCTAGCAACGGTTTTCCCCACAGAAGGCCTTTGGGAATAGAACATTTAGACACTCATATCTCTGGATAGAATTGACGGATTTTTATGATTTAAATCTTGAAATGTAGGAAATGATACAAAAAGTCAGATTAATGCATGCAGCAGGCTCAAATATGTAATCTGAATATTTGACAGGTTTTCAAAAGTAAACATTCTATTTTTTTACCAATTTTTACCAAAAATTCGAATTTCGAAAGCTCATAACTTCTTGTAGAAGTGACATATCGAAACAAAATTAACATTTTTGTAATCCCTGGTTCCTGTTTTATCAGTCCATGAAGTTACATTGAAAAATATCCATATTTGATTATTTACCACTCCCCTTTGCATCATAAGTGCAAAAGGAAGCGGTTCATATGAGGTCAAAGTTCAAGGTCAGATAGCAAGGTCAAAGCTACCAATGTGCAACGGCTATCATATCAAAAAACATTCCACAGACACCCTACTTTTCAAAAACCATGATGAGAATGTGCCACCTCAGGTGGTACCGATATCTCCTCTGGCCCATGGACTACAAGTACAACGTGTTGTGAGTACGGCAAACGCGTTTTTACCAACACCCTTAACAGCGCTTCAGCGTTTTTGTAAAAATCCTCTTGTAAGAGAGAAATATTGTGTCATTTTTATATGCAGACACCAGACATCTCTTACCTGCATTTCTGTACACACAAACAACGCAAAAGCTGGCAGAAAAATAAAATTTTAGCATCTATTCCTGTGCAGACCACAGCCCCAGCCGTCCCTAGCAACGGCCATAGCAACCAATCTACTGATTTAAGTCTGTGGATTGTGTTAATCTTCAAACACTTATATCTCCTGATAGAACTGATGGATTTTTGAAATTTAAACTTTACCATTCAGGGAATGTTCAGGTCTATCAATCAAATTTGCCTTTCAAGGCCCCACAGGTAACGGGAAAATATGCATGATTATAAAATTTAATTTCTACACTTTTCTATTAAAAATTCCAAAAAGTATCAGCTTTTCGAAGCGCATTGTGCTTTACAACGGCTCAAAATTTAATTTGATATAAAAAGTGATGTCAGATACAGTAATACACCTCATTTTTTTCACATTATAATTGGTTTTCATGCACAATTAGCAGGTACTAGCTTCCTAATACATTGTTTTCTTGGAAAAGCATGTTGCCTAGCAACAGTTGCTAGGCAAAGGACAGTTCGCGATGGCTCCACCCCTGAAATTGTTTCTAGTGTCGTGTAGAACATTTGTGCCAAGTTTCATGCTTTTATCACCACTTGAGCAATTTTCGCACCGATCGCCTAGGCTAAGTGGATGCAGAACTGCAAATCATAATAACAGAAGTAAATAACAAAGTGGATGCAGAACAGCAATGATATAATAACAATAAATAAATAACAAGTGGATGCAGTTGTGTTACTGTCTTAACTTAAATGCTTTACAGACAAAGTATATGCAGAATATTGCTCATGTTGCTGTCGTTGTAGTGTTCTCTGCTGCCAGACACCTTTTCCCTGCATTCTAGCAAGCAAGCTTCTCACTCTCAGTGACGGCGTCCCATTTTGGACAGGGCTGGATCAACAATAGATAAAATTTTGAATGTTTAGACATACATTTAGATCTGATAGTCAAGGATGGGCATTTTAACACATTTAAACCTTTTTTCGTGACAGTTGCTATATTTTATTGCTAGTAGTGACAGCACTATTATATGGTATTTCTGGAGATCAGGTTGTAGTTCTAAGACACTTTCAATATCTTAAATCTAGTGTACAGTACTTTGTACATGTACAAGTGTACGAGTTGAGAATACTGTAACAAGGAGAGTTTGAAGATCTCAGGGATAGGGTCACTGAGTATTTTTCAACACCGTCTTAGAAGCACAGAGCAAAAGCCATGTTACGAATAACAAGCGTATTATCAGTCCATATCCCATGATTCCTCTCTAGGGTCCCAGACACAGCCACGCCCCCTTTCTACATGTGCTATCTGTTTTGGTGTTTACATCTCCAATGGCCGGCTAATTCCTGCCGCTTTTCTAACAATGACGAAAACATAATGACAATATAAACATTATGACAACTTCAGGCCGTGGTCGAGTTAACGCAGACTTCTATTTGTAAATATAACACGTTTGAGAAAACTTAAGAGATTCGTCCGAATCGTAGGAGTCTTCGTCACTCGGAAACCGTTCTTGTAGCTGTTCTCTTGTTTTTAGGAATGTGAAAAGATCGCCTTTCCGTGAGATATTGTCTCTTGCTGGATTGTTATGTGACCTACTATCAAGAGGTACAGAACTTACAATAGTTGTCGTTTGATCCTCACCTTTTGAGACCAATCCGCCGTTAGCAATCCACCCGCCTTTCTTCGTGTCCACAACCTTCTCTTGCTCTTCTGGGCCGAGTCCTATACTGGAATTGTCCGTGTCCGAGTTCTCTATGTCCGAGTTTTCAGTGTCCGAATTCTCTGTACCCGAGGCCTCTTCGATTATGTCCAGTGGTCTGGACCCGTATCCTCCTGTTCCTGGCCAGTTCTTGCCAGTCCCGGTAGCGGTAGGGGTCGCGGCTGATGTCTCGGTCAACTGGGAAGATCTCCGCCGGCTGGAGTTGTAGAGTCGGCGCCACCACGAGATCTGCTTACCGGGTGGAGCCTGACTGACTTCTGTGGCCATGGCAGGTTTCCTACGTGCTTCTACGAGAGAAGCGGCTCTTGCACGGTCCTGGGATTCCGCCCACTCGGCTTTCATCGCGTCAGTCGCCGCCCCGGCACTGACCGCGGCCACGCACCCTTCCGAGGAGGGTCTGACGCGCTGGAGGTGCCCCTGTAGCAGGTTCAGCAATTCCGCGTTTTGTGGCGACCTGTTGTTTGCAGGAGTGAACCTGACATCGCTGTCTATAGACATTTCTACGGACTTCGCCGCTTCGGCCCTAGCTTCTGTAACTTCTCCCTGCCTTGGCAGACCGTTGACAACAATAAACGTCTCTGTACAAAAGCTCAATAGTCTCAAACGTCCCTCGAAGTTTGGATGATCATTTGGAAGTTGCCCTCCCACCACTTCCACATCTCCCGGTAGCTTGCATTTCTCCAGTAGTTCTTCCATAGTGTGATGTTCTGGCAGGTAGGCCGAGAACCTGCCGGCACAGTCCGTGTGTAGACATACCAACCCTCCAGTCTGGTTAGTACAAACGATATAGCCTGTGGGCTGAGCATCGAGTTTTGTTTTGCTAGCTTTCTTTTTGCCCTTGAATGAACGTTTTATTTTTTTCAGCGTCGACGTCTTCTCTTTACCTCCAGCTTTGCTTATTTCCAGGTTTTCCTCCTCAAAGTCTTGAACTGGTCCTGTCTTGTCTATGGCGGTGAGGCAATCGCCCACTACAGCAGACATGTTGATGACCTTCGGCTTGCTTGGACTTGTGTCCTTGGTGAAACCATGGCCGCCATCTTTATTCTGAGACATTTTCATGCTCAGCAGTCCCAACAACTCAAAAGCTTCCTGAGACCTGCCCGACTCTCCCCACGTCACGTTCTCTTCTACTTTAAAACTCTGCGGGAAAGGGTTCGCACGCAGTAACTCATTCACGTTGTTGTAAAATACTTTCTTAAAAATGACGAACTTTGCCGGGTGTCTGAGGGGAATCGTCATGAGGGGACCGTACAGACGACCGTTCGACCTGTGGACTCTTCTGGCGAACACGTTACGCTCGGAATAAGACGACCGCAACAACAAGATGTCGTCTTTAGCCAGGTCCGCTTGAGGGTCTTCTTTGGCGACTGTTACAAACACTGGCAAGTCGTACTTGTTCAAGACTTCCCCGGGAGAGAGAATCTCGTCCGTCCACTCCAAGTTCTTGGCCCGCTGTCGGATCCTCGCGGCCTGGTTGTTCCCCATGTTTTAACAGCTCACCTTCACGAAGCCAACTTTATATTGTAAATACAGAAAACAAATTCATGTCCTAGTCTACGGCACTGTTACAGTATACTGTCGATGAAGTAATCGCAGACAGAAACCGTGGGTCCCACCAGGACGCTGGTGTTGTTATGACCGAGACGAGGCCACCGACACAGTCCAGCGGTCACAGTGACGGGTCCAACCTGTCCGACTCCTCTATTATACAGCAATGTCTAATATAGCCTGCACGTCCTACAGTAGAGCAAGTATATCATACATTTAAATCAGACGAGGACTGATGGTTGCAATGTTGTTTTCCCCGAAAATGTTGACTGTCGGTAATGACCTAATTAACCACATGAACGTAACTAGCGTAATACCAAATGGCTAGAAATGACATATTAAGTATAATCTCTAAGCAGCTCGCAGATATTGAAATGTAGAGATACCTATATACATGTACACTAGCAATGTATACATATCTTGTGCACGTGGGTGAGAGTAGGAATTTCCGAGCTCCCTACACCAAACCACCGTGTCGAACATTAAAACGTAAGGTTTTTCACAGATGGATATGAATAACGCGTCGATTTTTCATCCAAAACCTTAGGGGCATCAAAGCTATAATTATGGGTACTGCACTTTGTGTCACTGAATCAGCGAATACACACAGCAACATATAGCTTTTGAGCTGATAATGGCGAGTGTCTTGTCTTTTCCCAGATCTTGAATAATAATATCTTTCAATGTCATCACCCCCCCCCCCATTCCACCGCAGGCCAAATTAGGAATCACACCTTCATGTCGCATGTGAGGTCACGAAGCAAGTTTGTTAGCCCGACTATTTGTGTGATGCAGTCAGTCTGACAAGAATGAAGTCTACCGTGGGTGGACAACAGTTTGAATAAAATACCCGTGACATATCTATGATATAATATATCAGTTATAGCATTAATTCTTTGCCTGGCGAGGTGGTATAACAGTGTCCCTGATCAGTGCACGCGTACACCCTTCCTTATAAAGCCCTAATTGATGGGGCCCTCTCAGCCTCAGGCCTTCGCTAGTTTTGAGTAGTCTGCTCTACGCCAACGGCAAAGAAGAAGCAGGTCTTTCAACGTCGAGATGGCTCAAGGATTTCACGCTATCAACCTGAGATAACCTTATGGCTTCTTTGAATCATGAATCCGTCTAAATGCTTATATAACTTACTGTCAGACATTCCTATAAATAAAGATGTATGTTTGTACCACGCTGAAACCATTTTCTGGATTCATTTTTTAATGATCAAGCCACAGAGTATCAAAAGAGTCTTTCTGTTACCATGCTGCGCTAATAATTACAAGGACCTTTGACCTCAGAATGCTTATCATATCTGCCCAGGCTTCCACCTCATGTGGGCTGCAGAGAACAAAAGGCGAGGGCGGGAGCTGCTGTCTGGGGGCGCGTAGTCTGTGAGGCTCTCACCTTTCCTGTACACGTATCTTTGTTTCTTTTTGCTGCAACGTATTCTATTGTACATGTCGAAACATCGTCTCTAAACAACCGATGTTATGTTGTACTGACTTTAGACCGGTGTTATTTGGCGGACTCTGCAACAACAAGGCCCGTGTTTGGTGATCTGCCAAGGGAAGAAGTGGCCTGAACTGTCGTCCAACCAGAGAGTATGGGAGTGGGACTCTAGACTGATTCAACTTCTCAGGTCATGAACTTTGCAATACTGCCGTGACAGCGCCATTTACTTTTTTTTAAATATCGTCATCTGATCAACTTGACTGGCGGGTGTCGTCCTCATCGCCACCGTAAAGCGTAGAGGCCAGTGACAATGCAGGATTCAATACGCCTGCCTACGGACTACAACATTCCACCGGACGTAAAAATGGTGTCTGTTTAATTCGTAGTTAACCAAGTGTCACAAATGTGTGACGTTTATGTTCTGACTTGTGACGACCATATGTTCTAAGGAGCTCTGAACTAGTTACTAGTAGCTTGGCACATAATAACTTTTCAGTCGTACTCATACACGTACGCTTGGACATCAATCAACCTTTCTAGCACCCAGACGTTTGCGTAGAAGAACGGAGGGATCATTACAACACCTTTGTTAACGGCTACCAAGTCCAGCTGATCCTTTTCCCACAGTAAAACGTAAGTACTAATATTTGATCACAACGCCACATTGCATTGATAGACATATTGGATTGAAAATCAATTTGTCAAAATTGAATGTGCCACCCAGCTGTCTGAAGTTTTAATAAATAACAATAGATAATGAAAAAAGCCTGCAGGTATCGATATATCTAATTATTTCATTGTTCTTGTAAGTATTATTTCATGCATACGTTTGTATACTTGATATGTCATTCATGGCCAGATCTGACAAAATGGTAACGTTGGCATGTTTTATGTGCCATGCGCCAGTTTACTGACGGCCCAACTCTTATAAAATATAGCTATTAATTGTCGATAACTTAATGAATCAAACAGTAAGTTGATAGATGCTTATACGATAAGGGAGTGACTGTCACAAATACGTACCACAAAATGATATTCTTTCTGCCCTCGTTATGTTTTCAACAATTAGTCTTGCCTCTCTTGTATCCCTAACCGAAGATTCCAAATTCTGCCGACGGGCAGACATTATGTTTAATGTTGACATATTACGCACACATTGCAGCTATGTGTACAGAACAAGAATCATATTGGTCGGTATCCTGAATTTGGGCCCTCTCTGTCGCCTCAGGGTAGGGCTAGTCTCAATACAGACTATACACTGAGAGGTTACTATCCGACAATGGTGGCGTTTGTTTGCCTGTCTTATCAAATCTCGTGTTTTATCCTTTTGTTGCACAGAATTCCGTGGTAAAGATGGGGAACGTCACGTTATGTATCAAGAAACAAGTAGACGACTTGAAGTGGTTAGAAGACTCCCTCACTCCTGAGGAGATTTTGGAGAAATACGACCTCCCCACTTTGGTCAAGGTCACTCAACCCGACCGTCGCTCTCAGCTTAGCAAAGACATCGTCCTCTTGGTGAATTCCTCGTTTTCGGAGGAGAAGGTTCTTGCCCAGAGCTTGGAACGGGAGACTGGGAAGACTATCGGGCCACTTGTTAGTATTCCATTATCGTACACGGGCACGTTCCGCAAACTGACGTCCCAGTCCTTCCAAACAGTGCAGGAAGTGGTCGACTCGCAGCCATTTTCCGGCACCTTCACGGTGGAAGAAGACATGAAATGGAAGAAGCAGCGTCTGCCGGCCTCCGTCCAACAGATGATGATGAACGAGCTGGGAGTGTCTGGACTCAAGGGGAAGCTCCCCAAAACCCTTGTAAGAAGGGGAGATCTTCTCTCCATGAGAGGTATTTTGAACCCCACAGACGGCGAACCCATCGGACAAGACGGTCCTAACGGCGACGCAGGCGGCGAACAGAAGAAAAGCTCCAAAAAGAATAAGAAGAAAGGAAAATCCCTGCCAGCCTACGTCATTTGCGTGAACCAAGATGGTGAGATAATGTGTATTCCGTCTTTTTGTAGCGGCAGGTTCTCGACCGTAGCTCTGCGCTACACGAGTGGCCCTGTCCTGACCCTGAGGGACATAGTGGAGGACACTGACACAGACATGCCCACAGACGTGCTGTATGTGGACGGAGAGAAGATCATGGAGGAAGAACATTTCACGGGACTGATCAAGCTGCTGACAGCGTACGAGAAGAAGCTTCTAGTGGCGTCCATCCTGGAAGAGGACGGGGCGTTCTCTTCCGTGGAGTTCGGCGTGGATTGCGGAGTGAAGTTCGCACCCGCAGATCCGGACGACCCTAAGAACCAAGAGTTCCTGAAACGCGCCTTGGCCACCCCTGACGATGGAGGGGTGAGACGGAAAAGGCTCGGCAGTTTCCGGCCTAACCTCGGCGGGGCCTCGTTTCCGTCGATGGACAGCATCAACCTGATCGGGAAGTGGAGAAACAGGTCCATGAGGAGGAAGGGGGAAAGGTCCATCCCAGAGGAAACAGAACCAACTTAAGAAAAGTACTAGTAGAATGACACTAACCGCGTTATATGGATCATGACAAATTAGGAAGTTAGCTTCATGTAACTTCTGTTTATATTATATCTTAAGCTTGGTCTTGATTACACCTGAGTACGTAAGAATATTACGTACGTATAATATTCAATTTCTTCACTAAAATATACACAGGAATGCATGTAGCAGATTATATTTGTTAATGTACACAACCTTCTCCTTTAATTTTCACCTCCACTTTTAAGTTACGAATACCAATACTCGTACATTGTTATGCAGCCAATGACACTAAGCAATGTAGTAAGTAAGGGACGGTCTATGTTTCAGACCCGGACAAGATCGGGGTGATATTATCAATAGTATAAGAAATAACCTGGTGACAAGTAGCGGTAAAAATTTGAGCTTTTGAGAAAAGTTTTGATTTTCCTTATCACTAAAGAATTCTCTTGTGATTGTGATGTACATCAATAGGCAACATATGAGACTTACTTATACGGAATCAGTATAATTTTCATAGACGTAATTATCAAGACAAAAATGTGTAGTAGGAATGACTTATGTGAAAGCCTGACTACTGTCTGTTCTTTTTTAATGTAGAAGAGCAGTCGTGACATGTTGAAACTGATGGATATATATTCATTATCCATTTTACATACCATTACCTCAACAAAGAAAACAATAGTATAGCGTATTTTCTTGAAACCCAGAATGCATTCACAACAGTTGTAACAACAGGAGATGATATTCGATTTTTGTACACTATATTATCTTTAGAGTTTTATAGGGCTATATTTTCGACAAGTAATTTTCAATGGCAATGGCAACAAAGACAATGATAATAAGGGTAAATGACACTCATTGTACATATCACATGTGATTGATCTAATTTTTGGCATTCGACAATGTCTTAGATTGCACAATATATTTGGTCTGTTTTGTAACGCAGGTCAAGGTTCGTAGTTCAAGCTACAGACTGACTTTTCCTGTTGGATCAGTCTGTTGGATCAGCTGAATAACTTCATTCAACTGTGACAAATGTGTGATTACAAAAGGTCATCCCGTTTGTCATATGTCATACGAAGAAGATTGTATTTTTAAAACTTACTTTCTTCATTGTTATGAACTACAGGAGGAATGACAAATCAGTACTTTAGGTAACTTTACTAACTTTAATACTTACCTAGTCTAAACTTCATAAAGTATGTTAGCTTAATTTTCATCGGCGTAAATTGCAGTTTGACGTTGTCATTCCTACAGTAAACGTGTGTCTTTGCCTGTATTTCATGATTTCTTGAACTTCTAAGATCATAGGTTAGGGCTTGCGCTTAGCTGGTGTGTTACGCAGCTGGTGTGTTACGCCGCTATACTGACTATAGGAATACAGATTACGATTATCGCATATGCAATCACTTATTGTGCCATTTTCTTCTAAGTGAAAATAAACACGAAAGGTGAAATTTTGTCCAATAGTCCTAGTGTTAATTATCGGATGAACTAAACTGTTCCCATGTCATCGTAACAGTAGTCGTACTTGAGCGAAACGCGTCGAACTGTCCTGACTTGAAAATATGTCTAGTTTTGTAGACATATGTGCATACGATGTAACTTTGTTCGACGACGTTCTTTTATTAAAGGACGGGATCTACGATTGATGTTTAACCCACACATGTAATCCTAAAGTCGCCGGCATTACCTCAAAATAAGGTTTGAGATAAAGCCTTGTTAACTCCACTGTAAAGTAAGGTGTGTCGCTGTGAATATAATTGCGTTCCCGGCCATGTAAATTACAGAGCTTTATCTTGGGTGTGTCTAAACGGGCATGCCACGAAGTCGGAATTGAATTTAAAGCCAGCGTGCTTGCTTCTTCGGTGACTGTTTCATGCAAAAATCTGGACATTCGGATCTTGCAACCATATCTAAAAGCAACGGATTTCAAGGCGCTACTGCACATCCGCTATTCGCAAACGGAATGTCATTCCAGTATCGACTGTGGTACAGCAAGTAGGTCACTGTTGTTCTGGACTTGCTGAAGTTCAAAGGGCAGTGGAAGATTGACAAGTATCTTTTGACAGCTAGAACGTGTGGCCCCCTCCCCATGCACCGATCAAGGGCAGGTCAACATTACGCCGCTACAACCGTCTGGGAAGAATCATCAATTTGGTGAGACACTATCAAGTTCACGGCTTGCACAAGGTGACATATGTTAGACAAAAAGGTATCTCAGATCAAGTCTGTAGGTGCCCCCCTCCCCATGGACCGTTCAAGGTCGTCTTAAACTGAATTGTTTGACGTCGACGGGGTCAGATTATGTAGCGAGAAATTCGTGACGTCGCTGTGTTCTGTGCTGTACCACGTGGCTGTACGTGAAATCAAACCTGGATTAATAACGAAATGCCGAGACCGGTGACAGTAAAATACTGCCGTGTCACCACGACATGAAAAAAGCACAACCTGGAGAAACAAGTAGTGCTGAGTTGCCACAGGTTAGGGTCGTAGCTGGTAGACTCAAGGTCGACTCTCTAAAACACCGTGTCGTTAAAGGCGTACAGACGTTGCAAAAGGACAAGGCTGACGGACGAGTCACAAGAAAGGAACCAGAGGACTCTGTCTCTGCAGTGGGTGTGGTTACTGAAGACAAACAGGCCCAGAAACGGCCACTCGTGTAGGCCCACTCGCACGGCCACTGTGAGGATCACTGCTAACAATACACTTTTCCTCTACTACATGCATATTATAAATACATGACAGAATCATGGCCGGTCTGGACCTACAAAGCGACAGTCTGGTGTCGGGCTTACAGTGGCGCTGGGAAACGGACTACAACATATCCCAGGTTCTGGACAATCACGCCCTGCCCTTATTAGCCCTGGTCAGACAGCCAGACCCTGACATCCCTCTCCAACAGGGGGATGTTCTCTTACTTCACTCCTCCTACTCCAGCCACAAGGTCCTAGCGCAGTGTATGGACCGGCAGGGCGGGAGACTGGTGGGCCCCATGTTTAACATCGGTTATCATTACCCGGGCACGTTCGAAGTGATGTACGGCGAAGGGAGGATCTTCGACAGCGTGCAAGAGATCTTGACGGCGGTCGAAGAGGACCCTTCTCGAGTCTTCAAAGTCTTGGTGGAGGAAGACATCGTCTTGAGTGACAAGGAGAGGGTCCCGAAGTCGGTCGCGCACAACCTGGGGATGTACAGCGACAGGAAGCATGTATGTCGGAAGGGCGATGTTCTCCTGCCCGAGGGTAAGGCCGTTCGTTTAGCCGGACCCAAGGGCATGGGTCGCCTCGCTAGTTTTAGCAGTGCGAAGGAATGGAAAAGGACCCTACTGAGAAAAAAAGACAGATCTAAAACGGAGGAGAAGGAGGAGGTGTACGAGTATCTCGTATGCAGCAATCAGTCAGGGGAGATCCTGTATCTTCCAGCAAAACACAGGTCAATGTTTACATCCGTCCGCCCAACATCAAACGAGCATTCTCAACTACAAGTCAAAGATATACTTGGAAATATCAAGTTGCCAGTTGATGTAAAGCTGCTTAAGGGAGAAATACCCAAAGGTAACTTCCAGTCGACACCGTTTTTTCGGCTCCTTGATGCTTACAAGGAAAGTGTAGTTCTGACCTCTTTGGTTGAGGGGGACAAGGTCAAGGCGGTGATGGAACTGTCCACAAGCGCCCTCTTGCAGCTGTGCCTCGCAGATACATCTTCCAGAGAATATGCTGAACTTTTGATTAGGTTACACACGCTGAACAACGTTCTCCCCAGAAATTCGGACGCGGATAAGACCGTCAGCGTCGCTGCGAGCACGACTCCAACTGGAAAATCGCCCCCAATGGAATTCGCCCCAGTCGACACAGAGGATAACGCGTCGTCGGCTGCGTACAGCACTTTCAAGTCTGACATTTACTCCTCTAGTCAGCCAAGGTCCCCATCAAGCGAGGACGTGCATCAAAGTAGCTACTTTGATAGTCAGTCTGCGTCTAGCCAAACCAAGTACTCCAATGCACGCAAGTCCAGCATCTACCAAAAACTGAAGTTGCCATCTCTGATCAGAAAGAAAAGCACCAAGGCGGATGTCCACAGCGCTGCCGCAGACGACGCCGTGAATGTCTACAAGGAAGCGATGGAGGCTATCGACTCCTTACAAACAGTCGCTGGGCAAGAAACTGCGACTAAAGAAGCTGAGGAAGAAAGGGCGATAGAGGAGGTCACGTTGAGCTTTGTTGGAGAAAAATCCCCGAAAACGAAATCCAGTTCAAATCCGGACTTCGGCTGGGAAAAGTTTGAGGAAGATATTGCGTTGCCGAAATCCGCGCCCAGTGCTGGGGCAGACATGAATGTCATCCCGTCTCCACTCCCCCAAACCGTCACCAAACCCCGCAGACCCGCTCCCCCCATCCCAGTGGCTGCCACCGAGGGGCTACAGAACCTAGATCTGAAGGAAAACGTTGCAAGCACGAATCCAGGTGTCCCAACAGAGGAGGACTCGGGGTGGGTGTCACTGAGGACATCTAGCGGAGGTCAACGGAACATCGTCAAGACGCTGACGTCCCGATCGGCGGGCCCACCACCACCCATACCTGCTCGGCGGGCAGCGCCATAAAATTGGTGTTGTGTGGCTAGAGACAAAAACTGTTCTAATATAATCCGGACAAAAGAACATCAGATTTGTAGCAGAACACTAGTGTTAACGCATGGATGTAGGGCAAGTACCTTATCTCTGTGAGAAAACATGACTTTCTCTCCACCTGTTTGCCCGTACTGCAAACTCCACATACACACACACACGCATCACCGGGGACAAGGCAAATATTAAACACGCCTGTTTACAGTGTAGCCCAAAGTGTCCAGACAGGTAGCTAACATGCACTAAACTTCCTGTGACTGGTATTTATTGACGTGTTTTGAAGTTCAGGACTCGTGATATCGATTTGTTCTTAACGACGGCACGTCAGAGATTGTTTAGCCTGCGTTACCGGATATCATATTTTCAGCAAGACGAGTGGATTATATTTGCGTTACCATAGATTGCGTATTTATGGAGGTTTTATGGGGTGGTGCAGGTTTTATTGTATTTACGGAATAGGGTAATAGAGGTTGGATTGATTCACAACTGTTCGAGAAATTTCAAGGATACAGAATTTGTCACATTTTTGTGACGTCGTAAATATGTCCGGTCAGACTTCTTAAATGTGTGTTATGAGTTAAGGCACTGTACACATAATTACTATATAATAAATGGTGTAGTTTAAATTGATATTGTTCGGTACTTCAGAGCTGGTAATCTGTGTCCTTACTTCATAGGGGAATGAAATATGGGCCTCGGCCGGAGTATCATCCGCTCTCTAATCTTTCAGCATCCAAATAAGTTTTTGATAAACCTCTTTCGTAGTTACATGCACTAATGTCCCTGACTCTTGTCCCCATTGGTGGACCCGTGGCTTACAAACATCCAACAGACTTCCAACCCATGAAAATGGACATAAGCAAGTATCGTGCCGTTGGCATGTATGTTTAGGCTTTCCTTGTATACACCCTTGTATCCAGGCTGTGAAAAACCTTTTAGTCAACGAAAAACCCTTTATTGACATTTGGGGACCGGTCGCTTTTGTAGGACTTGGTTACGAAAGAATCCGAAGACGGTTTAGTTGTGGCAGACTTTTGACTCGGCAAACAACGACTGGTTTGGTGTACATGTCGTTCTTCTTGTCAAAGAGCAGGTATCATTGAACAGCAATTTTGTTTTGTGTGTAAAGTGATCGCATAGTTGTGTCAACGAATGGACAAATTTCAGTACTTTTATGGAGGTAGGCTTGTACAGGCCACGTCTGTAAAACAGCCTGGTTCTGACGTGCCTGGTGGAATTTATGACCTTTCGGTAAACAAGACGTGGACTTAGAACTACTTCCCAAAATACAGCGTTCTGCAAAGGCTACCGCACTCTCACAAGATGGCTACCTGGCGAAAACCGCTCACGTCAAACGTGCGCCAGCCGGCTACTGTCGGGTACCGGGCTCAGCCGATGAAGAAGGTGAAGTCGCTGGGTCTAAACATCCCTAGAGACGTCCCAAACCTTCTGGAGCAAATCTACACCAGCAAACAGAGTCGGCAACGAGAACAGAAAGTGGGAACCGTTTTAATCCACCGTGTAGGAGAGAGTTCGAGCGACTCCTTCACTCCGCTGGAGTATACCGCCAGTTTTGAGGCCTCCCATCCAGCCTACACCTGTCTGCTTCCTACAACCACAGAGACAAATGAAGACCTGGTGCAACCTTCCGATGTGCCACAGGATCCCACGTCAACATCTCAACTCACGCCGGACAACGACAAGGTAACTCAAGGTGACCAACAAGATGGACAAAACTCAGAAGAAGATCAGGGAGATGAGGATGTCAAGGACGATGCAGTCGGACAAGACACTGTCTCTGACACTGGGGAAAGCCTGTCGGCTGTCTCTTTGGACGTAAGAAGCTCGGAGGAAGACACGACTTTCCCTAGCAGCATTTCTCTGAGTCCAGACAAGTATGACCCGGTAGGACCGGAGGAAATTATCCTCCATGACAAAGCCGACGCCTTACGACTCGAAAGTGTGGCGGACGCTTTCCTTACGTCCACACAGAAAGCAGCTGCGGAGGTCCGCAAACCCAGCGGGAAGAGTCGTGAAGACGTCTATGCTTTAGTGTCGGGAGAAGGGAAACACGTCCAGGTGGACAGCACAGCCAGTCCCGTGAAGAAAACTCCAAGTAGGCGAGGTCCTCCCCCTCCCCGACCCCCGAGGTCAAACTCACAGAAGCGCGTCCATTTCGCAACCGTTGCGACCGTCGATGAGCAAGTTTCGAGGGACAACACGAAGGAAGAACCTCGGCTGGAGTCCCCGAGACAAGCTCAGGACCAGCAGAAGACAGCAGGTGGTTTAGAACGTTCTGCCAGCAACGTTTCGTACATAGACATTACCGGGATTAGGAAGGATTCGCGACCGCTGATTTTTGTGTAGCATCTATTTATCCAAATTTGTGTACAACATATAATATTATTGCCAAATCTGTTTTATTTTGTAAGTTGATAATACGAATATTGCATATCTAGCAGATAAAGATAACATTTGTAAGTTTCCCCTGCCAAGTAAGTGGACCTCCTAAAGCTAACCGAAAGCGTAGGACGGCAACGGCACGCTTTATTTGTCAGCATGATATCCAAGCGGATGTTGAAGTGTGTAACGTTACATGTATTTTTGTACGCTATTTTTGCCAATCCTATTTATAAAATGTCCAGGCAACTTGACTGGAGAAAATTTTTTTTTTAAAAGCCGCAATATCTGCTTGTAGGTTTGAGACAGTACCAGTATGTTCTCTACCCTGTGCTGTTAAGTCCTGTAGAAGCTCATGTGCTCTGTATAGCTACATTACTTGTCAGGTGTTCATCAACATGTTTACTGAACCCTCCATGTTCCACTAGGCCTAGTGAGGTGCCAGTGATGTGATGTGCCTACCCAACCTTACATGACACCAAACGTGGGGAGGGTCGACTGGGACCGATCCCAGCTAAGCCTTGGGCATTTGCAGATGCCAAAGTTCACCCAAAAGAACAAACAGGACCATCTACATTATATAACTTACTGTTGTGAAATTGTGAAATCAAAATAGACCCAAATGGTCTGATATGCTTTTCTATTGGCGCGAATTATGCTGCAATCTATATTAAGTTACATTTAACAACCATGAAAATATGCTCCACCATCATATGCTATAAATAAAATAAAATATCTTAAACTGCTTTAAGTATGCACGGCATCGTCGTTTTTAGTTTACATTGAACTAATAATAATATTACACGGTCACATTCGGGATAACTACAGCTTGCCTAACTGCACAATTGGAAATCGTGCACCCACGCAATGACTTCTAATCACAATTGATTCCTACATTGTAAGATATAGTACGGCATCTAGTATGACTCTCGGATGTTCGAATTCGGGTTAGAAAAAATGTTGTATTCTAGATCTTGCGGACTATCTTAATGATTAGCTAATTGTGTATCTTTTTGATAACAAAAGATATTTAGATTAAGGCATAATTTTTCAAGCTTGTTGCGATACAAAATGATCAAATGAATCGTATTTGTATTTTGACAAGATGCCCTTCGTTATTACCTTCGCCAAGAAGGTTATGTTTTCAGTAGCGTTTGTCCGTCTGTCTGTCTGTCTGTTTGTGAACAGCATAACTCAAGAAGCTTAGTATGCATTGTCATGAAACTTGGTAGGTGGGTAGGTCTTGATGAGACCTAGAAATGATTAGATTTTGGGCCCCCTGGCGGCTTCTGTTGGTACTGTAGCAGAACTTCCGGTTTTGATATCTCGCGATCTGGACATGCTAGGGTCACGAATTTTGGTTGGTAGATAGCTCATGAGGTAGGGAAGAAGTGACATGAGTTTGGGCCCCCTAGCGGCTTGTTCTGGAACTGCAGGAGCATTTGTTGAAAAATTTTCGAAGGATGATAACTAAGTAACCGGTTGACGGATTGACGTGATTTTTGGTATGTAGGTAGCTGAAGTGATGCTTGACATAATCAAATGATAATTATGCAAATCAGGAGCTAATTTGCATAATTAATGAGGAAATTCTAAAACTCTGCTTTGTTCGATAATAGGACTATGAAACACTTGTGACATGTAATTGAGAATGAAAAAAAAATCTGAGGATATAGATTATGTAAATAAATACCTAATTTGCATAATTAATGGGAAATTTTTATAATTTCATGGTTGTAACTGCTGGGAATTTCATACTTGCCACATTTGGAAGTTAAGTGAAGGCGAACATCAATAAACATAATTTATTCAGATCATGACCTCATTTGCATAATTTATGAGGAAGTGCTACAATAGCCTTTTTGTTAAGATAAGACTGTCATTGGGTGGAGAATATGATCAACTGATATAACCCTTGCAAATGAGGATCTTATTTGCAAAATCAATTATTAAAATTGTATAATTCTTCAACCGCAAGGGTTAACATCATTTGGCGAAGGTATGAGATCGTGGAACTCTTGTTTAATGTCTAACATCTGTTGAGTCATTTGCTTTCTGACGATGGTCCAACTTAGGGTTTGACGTGGAAACTAGCCACTTATCCGCAGGCAACATTCGAGGCAGGCCTATGTCTCTCCTGACGTGATGGTATGTGACATCCTGCATGTAATACACAGCAAATTTAACACAGAGTCAAGGGGTTCAAAAGGTCATAGTCGGATGTTTTGTGTAATTTGTGCCCACGTCTGTATGACTGGTCAAAGGTTGCAGGGCATACGTGTGGAACAAAGCGTTGTGCAGAAAAGCTGTGTGACGTCAGAGGTAACCGCAAAGGCGTTTCCAAGGCATGGTTTTGCGCACAATGGCATCCAAGTTACGGGATGTTTCCTCACGGGTCCCGTGTCAGAAAATATTTTTTCTGCGAGATCATGCCATATATCCTTGCATCCAAGCATTTAGTATATCTGTCGACTGTCTTTCGAATTCGTCCTCTCCACTGTTATATTTGCGGATAGGACAAAAGAGATTCGGCAGCCATAACGCCTTTGTATGCCAGACTAACCATGTCATGCACCTTACATAAGTCCCAGTTTACGGGGAAACAGTGCGTGTTTCTCAGTATTGAAAACTGAAGTACCTACTAAGTTGCATCGTTGATGATTGATAGCTTTATCTTTCAGGGGTCATTAGACAAATATGAATATTTACACCCAGAAGCGGTTGTTCGTGACAACACGTCAATGAACCATGGCTTCTGCCTTGAATATAGGTCAATAAATTACAGTTACCCGCAATTTAATGTAATTCATTTATAGCCTGATTTACTATCGTATGGTTTCAACTTTCTGTTGGAGACATAACAAGACAAGAAAAAGCATTAAATAAAATTGAATACCTGGGTGGGATAATGCACAAGCATATACTAGGAAGGGAAATGATATCATTTCCTGGCTGCCTACTATATCTACATTTACTTGAAAAGTATAGTTGGAAGAAAGTGGGGGCTTAGTCGACTGGGGAATAGTCAATCTATTGCCCAGGGTTGTGATGGAACATTTTGACTTGAAATAGGTACACAGGGAAGACCCGAGAGAACAACCCTCTGAAGCCAGTGTGTTCAATATATCGGCTCAAGCCTGATATTGGCTATACGGATACGAGTACAGATACCGATATAAAGATTAGCAGGCCGTACATGTATTTGTACATGATTCATCCAGGTGGAATGATGTGAGGCCATGCTATCATTCAGCTAAACTGCCCCTGCATTATCACCCGCTGGCGCAGAATTCCTGCCCATTATGTCTCCTGCCCCCAGGGAACACCTCACACACAGCACATTTTCTCACGCACTCTCCCCAAGCAGCGACCTGCCGGAGTAGAAAGTCTTGTTTTCGGTGACCTTTCCTTTCAACTCGTGTCAGCAGCAAATGGGAACCATTTTTTCTGCCGATCTTCACATCATTCGTAATTATTCTAACTTATATGACGGGTATCGTTGAGCACTCGGACTCTTCCCCGTGAGACGATAGGTACACATTCTGAAAGATTTGTGTTGTGGGCGGGACGACTATAGATTGTGATGTCTAAATCATTGCCGTATTGATTTGCAGCCAACATGGCGAGACTCGATAGGACTACCATCAGTAAATGTCCCTGAGGGACGTATCCAAAGGACGGGCTACAAACGGCTAGTGTATATTTCGGGTTGTTTTCGTGACATTTGATTTGTTGACGGATTTGAAGTATCCACGTCGCACATGCATGTTTCTTTGGACAGCCCAAATATTGATCGCCTTAACAGGAATATGGCGGATAACGTATCGGCTCGGCCGTCTCTGATAAGAAAGTCCCGGAGTTTCAGATCCTTTCCCAACCTTCTGCAACCTATAGCTGACAAGAAGAGGTCCAGTCTACGGTCCACTGATCGAGTTCTCGTCGCCAGGGTACCAAAAGCTAAAGACGCAAACGTCGAAACACGGAAGCAGGCGACTCCAAGTGTCACAGTACTAGGTAAACCACCTCAGTCCTCACCAGATAGACAGAAAGGCAAAACAGATAGAACTCAACACCAGTCACCTAGGACACCGCCACCAAAGGAGGAAGACGTCTCATCAAGGTACAAGCACCTCGGCCTTACAGATGTTGTCGCTGATGTTGACAACGACGACGCACGCGACAATAATTCAAGTAAAGAAGGTAGACGGTTGAGCACGTTTCTTTATGATGAAGATGGGATCGCAGTTCCTCGAGATTTAGCTCAGGCGAAAGAAGACAGTATAAGAAGAAAGAAGGGCAAGTCTAATATTGTCTACTATGAGGATCCCACTCGTATTACAGTACACAATGACACAGCTACAGATGGCCTTGGCAATCGATATGAAGGACAAAGAAAACCCCGGAAAGAGAATGACGAACATTTTGAGGTCCATGTGACGGAGGAAACCTTGGTGAGTGGACACATCGATGACCACATTGTCGTTGTAGACTTTCCCGACGACGTCCCCATCAATAGCGCAATCTTTCCACCTGGGATTTATCCAAAATCTACATCAAGTGTCAATACCGGAAAAACTCCTCCGGATAAAATGTACTATCCCCTGGTGCCCGCATTTGAGAAGATTGGCAAGAAAGACAGAAAAAGTCGAAGGTCAGAGATAGTGGAATGGCCCTCTGACGTTGACTTTTACGATTATGATGATGTTGTATATATGGGGCAAATCCCTGAGGATGATGTAGGCTATGGCTCGTTGGACAGGAACACCACAGATGTCAGATCTGAAAATGTGTCGCCACCTCAAGGGTTCTCTCAGGACAAGTTGAGCGTTCGTGCTACGGGCAGGATTCAAAGCGTGGATAGATCTGTAGACTATGGTAGTTATTACCTAGAACCTATTACTAGTGCTTACAATCGTTCTGATAGGGGTGTTTATGTCACTGAGGATGCAGAGACAACTAAGAACAGTCAGGTGGCGCGGTGGGCACAGCACGTACAGAGTTATCATAACAGCCAGCAGTCCCACCCGTCGCTGAACATTGACGCATTCAGCAGCGCGACTACAGGACTTTTCAGGTTTTCGGAAACTAACCTGGTCGAGGTGGAATATAACGAGTCGGTGTACGATGACTCTGAAGGGGAGGACGCCGCATCGACACCGCCGGCCGCCCCAATCTTCCATGACGAAGAGAGTACGAGCTTTGCCAAGGACGAAGAGACAGAAGTCGACCCAAGGCATTCAAGGCAACTTGTACACGATGAAAATGGTCAACTTGCTGCACATCTGACTGAACAAAAAGGACAACATCGGTGACAAAGCCCAATGTGGCTGCGGGGAACGTAGTACCAAAGCCCGGTGCTATCCCAGTCCTTGTGTGAGAACATGACAGAGTACTCGACACCAGCTGCCTTTTTGCCGTCCAAAGCTAGCAGTGCCACGAAATTTGCTAATGTCAAACATATCAGTACCAACAGTAGTACGTGTAATGACAGCATTGATGTAAGACAGGCTGCAGCAACGTTAGAACAAATGTTGCAAAGAAGGCTCAGTAATGGCCAAGGTGCTGTCGGCAGAGACGTTGTTAGGTCGAAAAACACGAGTTACAAACCGGCCGGATCCGACCACCCACCGACAAACAACGAACGTAAGCCGAAGACGACTGTTCCGTCGCAAGTAAAGAATGTACCGTCAGTGGCGAGGGATCGGTCCAGTGAAAAGGACGTCAATCGACCACGTATGAACTTCACTACAAAGAAAAGGGACTTAACCCCAAGTCGTAATGGAGGCGCAAACTTCCAGAACACTGATAATGTGAGCAAAAGGGTGAATATCAGAGCACTCAACCCCTATCAGAAAGAGACACAAAGCAAAAGTAATGTCCACGAACACCCCGTACCTAACGGTGATGAACAAATGCAAGTAACAGCGCCAACAAAACCCACAAGAGTAGAGTCTTTCACCATCCGGTCAGGGTTAGAGACAGATGAACATGAAAACTCCGTGTCCTCGCGCAGCGTCAACACCATGATTGAGAGGTTTGAATCCCTGAAACGTCCCGGGCGTACTGAAGGTACAGCGGGCTGGCGGGCGGACGGACAGGGGAGGGACGACTCCATGGTTCCGTCAGTCTTTATATAATGTGGAACCAGGGGTCGAAGGGAGAAGAATATCACGTAAAAGCGTTCTATCTAGAAACCAAGTCACATGGGACTAAAGTGTGGATAAAACAATAGATATGCCATTCTAGTTCCTTTTTTTCACAGAATATTATCCAGACCAAGGAGGTTTTCTTCTAGACGACTTCCTCTCTGTCAAGTATTAGAGAAGTGAGTGATAAATCAAGAACGGTTTTCAAAACTGATGTAAGATCGAACTCACTGAACGTACATTTGTCTTTTCTCTGCCACTTAGATCTAACAGTAGTTAAATGCAATTAAGAAGATTCATTGTGAAAATCTTGCAATGATGACGAGAGCTTTCGCTCGAATAGTCTGAATACTCTGACGATTTATGACTAGAATCTACTGATGATAAAGATTGTCGAGTTTGTTGAATTGTTGGTCTATGTTCTATGGTCCCGTAAAGGGGCGTTGCAAATAAAGACAAAACGAAACTGCAAGGAACATGAACTGTTTTTTTATTGAGAAACCTATAACTCACAACTAGTCATAACTGAATTCCAGTTTCACTCAAACGTTTGTATAAAACGTTGTTAGAGAAACGTAGCTCACACCTGTGGGGTAGGAGTGTGTAGTGTATACTCAAACATAACCATGTTCAAAGCAGACAATCATACGGTCTTCCTCTATTCCTGGAATAATTTAAATGTAGTCTAATCAGTTGCGACACATTTCAATTTGGAGAATTATCAATTTACGCTCAAGTACCTGAGCTAACGTACATGTATATGTAGCGCTTCACTGATTTTACCTGTTACTCATGTCACGTGATTTCCCCAGAAACAGGATGGTGACGTCACGCACCTGGTCACACAACAAAGACTCACCTGGACCTGGGCAGGTTTCAGGTTGCGCGAACCGACCGCAGCCAAATGTTCAGCAATACCATTTTTTTCACTACAAAATGTCCTTGGAATGATACGTTTCCAATCAAACACGACTTGTATGTAGGATCCCATTAAATGCTCTGATGGTGAAAGAACACAAGTTACGGTTTCTTTAAACTCAGCTAGAATTCATGTTTATTCATGTCATGATTACCTTTGGGGGCGGTCCAATTAGGACGAAAATTTACTTCCGGGGGTCGGGAAAACTGATTGTAAGAAGACAGTGCCAACTCGACTGTGAAGTGAATGTCAGGCAGTTGGGGATGAATCTACAACGTATTTAACTTCTCTTCACGACCGGAACATTGGTACATTTCTGCCGCCATATTCTGTATTCTGTTGACCGATTTTGGACTTGTGACGACCACTGGATCTTCATAGTCAGACATCAACGACTCACATGTTTTATGTGACTCGTGCTTCGATCACCCAAAACTCAGTACTACTTCCTTCTACGTATTGTGATGACCGAAGACAACCCGAAGGCTCCCATGCTGTAGGTAGATTTTGTACCTGACGTTCTGTAGTTAAGCTCCGCACAAGGTGCTCTGGACTCCTGCCGTTATTTGGAAGAAACGATGGCTGAAGTGACATCTCTCGCCGCGGTCAGTAGCGAAGATATCTTCGCCATTAAAGAGAAGATTCGGTGTCTTGAAGGACAGTTTCTGACGCCCGACCTCCTGCTGGACACACACAAACTGCCCCAGCTGGTGAAAGTGACCTACGCAGAGTGCGAGGCGCCCGGACTGTCCAAGAACGAGGTAAATATAGTTAGTAGAATATCGTTCAATCAGTGACTGTTTTTAAAAGGTAGAAACACGTACCTCCAAATTTTCGATGTCGACTGTACATCTTGATCACAGAGTGACCTAGTCCTAGACCTTGGAGAAACGTGTTTCTACCTTTCAAAAACAGTCATTGATTGAAGAATATTGTACTAACTGTTATTTTTACGTGACTGATGAACCTCTTGAACCAGGTAAATATAGGGGTGAACATGTAGGGAGAAACAAGGTGGTCTGGTGGATCGCTCTGAGGATACATAACTAACATATATAATGAAATGATGTGTAAAAAATCTGTGGGATTTATGTTGAACCAGAACAGGTAGGGTAGACTTTGGACAGGAGTAATCAATATCAACTCTATGTGTTGCCAATTGAGTCTAAATCCCCAACATGGACGCCAGGGCAGTTTGGAACTCGTGCTCAGCTCCTGTTCAAACTACATGTACTTTCACTTTCGCCGATAATTGCAAGTTATGTATTATAACAAGAATGCCAAACGTATTTTCCCCAAATCACGAACAAACTAGATCTAGCTACCTTTAATTACTGTGAAAAGTTTGTTTTCTAAAGGAGGGTTAACGGTCCTTACAGGTGATTATGGCACTGTTTACACACCGTTCAGTACAAACACACGATCAGTTAAACTTGACCAATCAGCGGCCAGGACATGGATATTTCAGGCGCCGTGTAGAATGCTAGCCTCGAGCGTTGCGTAGCGAAAATCCGGATGGTACCCAGGCTAGTAGAATGCCTCCTTTGCAAAAAGATCCAACACACATGAGGGGAACAGATTTTATTATTTCAGCAGTGTGTTATCAGTGTTCTTACAATTTACACTTTACAAGGAAGTTTCGTGGTCTTTCATGCTTATTTGTGTCTAAATATACAGTATGCTCATATCAGCGAAATACTGGGCTAGGTAAACAAATTTTAGTGTGGTCAAAGTTCATAGGTTCAAATGGACGAGAGGCACTTGTTCTTCCCTAGGTATTGTATTTTAGACACAGTCCCTGTAACACACACAGTCACTGTAAATAAATACTAGTATTGTGCCTTTTTGACGAATTCGAAACTACTATATTGTCATAACATTCACACTAGAGGTATATTAGCTCTTTTCAATACGATATTCATGTTTTAAAGAACAAGACATTTTAATCTCGTGGCCGGTAGGGATGTCCATATAGCTTTTGTACGTAATCAATAGTTTTCAACCCCCTGGCATTTATAAGAGCTGTCACCTGTCTGTAACCACGCCCCCTCCCCACTTGTTTGCGCACTGATCGGACACGGATCAGTTATCACAGACAGACCCATCAAACATGCAAGGATTATGCACGTGTCATAGCAAATACTAATACTCGTAAGGGGGTTATCGTAACCAAAGTCGTGCCTGCCTAGCTCTGTGCCCGAATATGTTATTGTTGGGATCAAGGAACGATTCGGTATAGTCGTTGCGTATCCAAGAAAAGTCGTTGCGTATCCAAGAACGTCACAGTAGATTTGCCCCAGGCACGGTTGTGGATACGCGAAGAACCGTGCATGAGCATGGTCCTGGATAAACCATACAAACACATGATGTAGTTCTAGATAAAGCAGGACAGCATGACATTACAACTTTCATGGTCGAAAGGCATTCTGCCAAAGTCCCTTGACGTTCTGCCTAACCTAAATTGTATGCGCAGAAGTGTGTGATTTGGATCTAGATAGTAGATGCCCCACGGCCAAGTCATAAATTGTTTGGTATTTTGTTGAACTGAAGTCCGGTTTCTTTCCATTTCAGATACTGCTCCTCCATTTCACCTACAGCAGTAAAAAGGTCATGGCACAGAGTTTGAGCCAGGAAGGCGGTATTTTGGTTGGACCGGAGCTGAACATACCACTCGCCTACCCTGGTCGCTTCGAACTCCTACAAAGTCAAAGTAACGTCAAGGTTTTTGAGCGGCTTGAGGAAGTCGTCAGTGAGGACTTGCAGTCCCAGATGCCGGTGGTAAGGCTTCTGGTAGAAGAGGACATTCTGAACAGTGAGCTCCCTCCCTCCGGTGTCGCGTCTCCGGAGATGGGGACCGCGACCACACGCCAACAACAGCTCCTGTGTAAACAGGGTGACGTCATCACGATTCTGTATTCTCAACCGATAGAGCCACCCGCACCTGTGCAACAGCTTCAAGAGATTCCTGAACTACAAAAGAAAGGGCTCGGCCAGAAGCTGAAGGGCAAGTTCAAGGGCAAGGGGAAAATGACTTCTCAGATGGAGAACAAAGAGTCTGAAGAGCAAAGGCAAAAGTTGATTTTCACTTGCAGCAACCAAGACGGCGAACTGGTGACCTTGCCGGGTGAACTGAAGGCGCGGTTCACCCTGAAGCCGCTAGAGTTTGAGAGTGGTACAACCTACACGGTGGAAAACATTATCGACAACTTCAAACTGCCGCAGGACGTCAAACTCGTGCACGGAGACTGCCCTGGGGAGGACGACGAGTTCACGGGGTACGTCAGGCTGTTCCACACGTACAGGGACGAAGTGATCGTGGGCACCTCCGTTCAAGACGACGGGCAAATTTCACAGGTCGAGTTTTCTATCAACACAGACATCCAGTTCAGTCCTGCCGACCTGGAACTCTCGGAGAACAAGGAAATTCTGCGCCTGTTTCAGTCCAACGTTCGCACGAGCGTTCTCGTGGACAGCAAGAACATGGATTCGTTCATCCTCGTTATGGGTAAACCGTATCCTCTATATACCAGGACAGAACCAAACTGTTCAAGCCCGCAGATCTTGCAACATACCCATACTCATACGCGAACGTAGGAGACATCGCCAAGTTGCGCCAACCAATCCTA